GGTAGTAGAAATGTGCCCATGTGAAAGCCTGTTTTACTGGTAGCTGCATAACATATGTGGTGTCTGTTCCTTGAAGCAAAAACTCTAGATGCCTGTCTGTTCCGGGAACATGTGTAGAACTAGTTAGCAGCCTCCATGCCTTTGGAAGTGCCATTGAAGGGCAGGAGGCACAGTATTATGCTAATAATCTCTTTCTATTCTGTACTTAGCCTGTAGAAGAAAAAGTACTTCTTCAAGAAATGTTCATGCTCAAGAATTGGGAGGAAATGGCTCTGTCACATGTGAGCAGAGTTACACCTCAGTGGGAGCAAGTGGGCACTGGGCCCACTCCACCCTGGGCAGATATTGAGGTCTCAGTGTCAGACAGTTTCTTTGGTTTGCAAAATATTCTGGTGTTAATGTTCACAGGGAGCAATGGAGCTCAACTGGAATGAAGGTTAAACAAAGGGGGCTTGTTTAGCTTTTTAATTTTGTGGAAAGAATGGGATTTTAGGAACGTTGCAGATTCTTGCTCTTCCTCTTATTGACTTTCAGCTCTTTAAAACCAGATTACTTGGAATAGTAATACACCAGCTACTTCTGGCTGCAGCAACCCTCTGGAGCAGGATCATCAGCAGAAATATTATCATGCGTGTCAGGAAAGATGAAGTAGAGAAGTGTCTTTTCTGGAGAATAGTCTCTTTCTAACGGACTCTTAATTTCCAAAGTCACCTCTAGGTCTGTGGGGTGGCTTTGCTGCATGGAGAAAAATATTGAAGGGATACACGTGGATATGTTGCATGTATAGGCTGGGGAATGCAGAGTATGCAATAATAGTACTAGTAATAATAATGATGATGGTGATGATGATGTTGAATCCTATCTAGTTCTGACTTCAAAGAACATCTGCAAAATTGCATCTTATCTGTTTGTTGATGTTGTTTGGGTTCTTTTTCCAGCTCTTTCTATGCCAGTGATGGGGTAAAGAAAAGTTTATCATGGCATACATTAAATCCAAGTATTTATTTTTCTTTCAGTTTGGAAACAATAACAACTACATGAACATGGCAGAGGCAAATAATGCATTTCTTGCTGCAAATGAGGTAGATGTTTTTATTTTTTATCTATGCTCATATTCTGCTGTTTGCTGTGATAATTTAACAGACTTTGAATGGATGAAGAGTGAAGTGCCGAATTTCTGCGTGTTTTATGGAGCACAAAATAAAGACTTTAATGAGAAAGAAAATAACCTGACAGCTCTCCATTACCAGTCAATTTAGCTGTCCATAAGGCTGTTACTTACATAGCATGTCAATAGAAACAAATCTGCTTTATGTATGGAAAAAAATTATGAACAGAAGGAAACAAATAAAAAGCACAGTAGGTGTACACTTTGAAAGCAAGCTTAGTAATAGTCATTACTGGCTAATGTGCTAATTTTTGTTACAGATACAAATGTTTTAATTTGGGTTCTTAATACTCATAGAAGTTAAACAACCAAAGCCAGCTTTGTTGCCTGAATTCGATGTGCTAGGTGAAAGAAACTTCTGACCAGGATCCAGAACAAACCTGAGGGCTGGGGTGGTAGAGGCTGGTTGGGTTGTGGAGATCATGTATTTGATCACTGCCTTTGAGAATGGAAGCAGGAGAAAGAAAGGTATGGCAACAACAGGCTCCATGTATTTGTTATGGTGGGGCCACCTTTCAGCCAATTAGTTAATATACCATCACCACACCAAGTGACCCCAGCTCTAGGCAGAAACAGTTTGTGCTCATCACTGAAACCCAACAGCTCTTACTCCAAAGGGAAGGATGGAAAGTGCAAGATGCAGTGTTTAGTATATGCATAGCAATATGGAGTACAAGAATTATTTATCTAGGATGCATGCCATAAATGATCTTCCCAACACGAGAAGGGTTAGCAAACTGGGCAGCTGAGACTGTTCATTTTATAAGTGAGGATTCAGTCACAGATATTCCTGTGCACTTCCAAACAACCATCTCAGTGAAAAGAAGCAGAAAGATGTAACAATAAATAGGAAGGTTAGAATTAAGAGTAGGATTTTATGAATCATTTATACAATGGTCACCATCTCTTTTTACGCAGCAAGACTGCTTAGATAAGGGAATATTGTTTGGCACTAGCTCCAGTGTTATTTGTGATAATGAACACAAACCCCATCTGTAATGACAACATGATGTTTCTTTCTGTAGAATTTCTTTCCTACATTTGAATCAAACATTGATGAAAGCTCTGCTGCCAGCAGCTGTTCAGAGACAATTTAATTCCAGCTGTGATAATTCACCGTGTCAGACATTGGCTGTTATATGTTGATACAACAGTTCTCCAGATTTGCATTTTTATCAAAAGGAACAAATGTTTTGAACATTTCAGTACAGATGGCATTTAACCATGCACACAGTCTTTTTTTTTTTTTTTTAAATGTGTAAGATATAAATATTTGAAAAGTTAATAACTTTAAAAAATGTGATTGGTAAGATAAATCTCACAAATGTTATACCATCTTTTGGTCATAACAGCACCTTTCTGCAGTCCCAAATTGCAGACTATTCAGGCTCTTTTTACAGACTGAATAGCCCAGTGATTTGGATTTAAGACTACTTCACTAAGGGGCTTGCTTTCTTCTTAGATTACATCTATTGTGTACATCTATTCTGTCCTCAAGCTTAGGTCCATTATATGTTAAAAAAAAAAAAGATATATACATATTTGGACAAGTTATATAGTTAGAATTAAATTAGTATTTAAAAATGCTAAGATACTTATCAATTTACTCTCCCATTTTTAGTAAGCTGTAAGGATTAAGGTAAATGCTACTTTTCTAAGTAAAATATTCTCTTATTATCTAGCTGTGTTATTTATTTTTACAGCTGTCCTAGAGTTATTCTGCTAGATGGGGGGAAAAAAAGATCTGGTTCTTGTAATTACTAATATCCCATAAATATGTCAAATAAAGAGAGGTTCAAATGTACTATAATAATACTGATTTCACTGAACCCTTTTGCTTGAACGAGGAATAAAAATATGATTAAGTGTTACTGTTTGCATTAAAGCATGAACCTAACTTTGCAATTACCACATTACAATGTATTTAATTATAGTGGGTTTACATTAACATGAATTTAGCTTTCTCAGTATTATTTTGGGCCTGAGCACTGCTGAGCTAGAAGCCCATTTTATTCCTGTAAATAATGCCTTGAGAGTGTAATCCTAGAGCACATTCAGGCTTAGAAGCCACACATTTGCTTTATGTTTTCTGTCTCTATGTCATGATTACTACGACTCATTTTAAAGCACCTTAAATATTTATTGAAATAATATTTCAAGTGTTAATTACAGTGGTAATGAAAACAGCCAAATGCCACATATCAAGAATGAGTGTTTATCCGTATTGTTAATGTGATATGTTAGATTTCATTAAGCAGTAATGGGGTAGCAAATGAGTCACAAATTACAGTTGCATCTGTTACTAGACCACATTAGTGCCAAAATAACTGCAAATGCAGCCATAGGGTTATGTTCATTAGCCAACCACTTCTCCTGGCCAATCCATCCTTTGTGTTTGTGAACTACAGGGTCCAGGGGAAGAAAAATTCACACCTTTTGTAATATAGCAGTGGGGAAGTCAAACGTCTCCCTAATCCAGGCCCAGCCTTCACATCCAGAATTAAGTTACAGCCTTGCAGTTGGAGCAAGATGGGCAGAGTCTCAGCAGACTCTGACAGTGCTGCAGACTGCAGCAATCTGGGACCTCATCATTTCTGGTGTGAGACCAATAATGACAGCTGACAGGTTCTATATGCAAGCAAAGGTTTTTCTTGTGTTTCAGTTTCCATCTTCTCTCAAGCGGTTATTAATTTATATCATCATTAACAGTTTGAAGGATGACAATTTGCAGCAGTTAATGAGATCTTTCACTGAACTTATCATTTTTAAATTAACTGGCATTAAGTCACTCTTTCAAACAATGTAATTAATACATAAAACAATTCTCCCCTCCCCAACTCGAATCCTGAACTAATGCAAACAATCAAATCCCAGAGCAGCCTTGCATGTCCAGAACAAGACAAGAGTGCCTATTTTAGGATTGCCAACTGCCCAATTTGATCAAGACAGTCTTGATTTGGGTACATTTAAAATGGCCTAATTTCGAGCACTGAATTTCTATTATTAAGTAGCAGTGGACCTGAAATAATATATGAAAGTTCATTTAACTCGCAAGAAATTTGAATAAGTGCAGCTCATTTGTTTCCCAAATAAAAGTCAGCAATGTTGAAGCCAGATACAGACTCTACTTGAATAAAGATTATCTTTGACAGACACATGCACACGTACAAACACGCACAAACCCTGAAGATAACTGGCAGTAAATGTTTTGCTCAAGGCATCTTAACAGGTGTTTAGTTCATAACAAACCTACTGTTCAAACAAAGCTGGCTTGCTTCAGGAAGCACTGGAAGCTGCTGTAATCACCCTCATGCTTTTATGCATGTCTCTCTTCCAAATTACAACCTGTGTTTAAAAGGGTGCATTGTATTTTGGGGATGGAAAAGAAATAAAGACCAGAAAGAGAATATTTTGTGTTTGTTGGTGGATAAAAAGGAAACAAAAGATGGGAAATGGTCAGTGCTGAATTCATGTGTGTGTGTGACAAAATTGTCAGTGTTTTATGAAGCATGAGAGTAATGTAAGCTGTTTGTGCTATTTTAGCAACGTATCAATAAAGTGGCAGTTTGTTATACAGCCAAATCCAATGTAGCTGATATTTGGTCTAACAACAAACAGATGTTGCTAATTAAGTGCACATTAAAAAACTGTTAATACTGATACTCCATTAATGAGACTTAAATCTTTAATCAGAATGATCCACAAACCTGTTCAGCATATAAAACTTAAAAATTTTGTTGCTTATAGAGTTTGTATTTGACAACAAACCCAGATTTGGACTGCAAGTGTGGAGTTGATTGCTGAGTGCAGTGTGCCCTAACATGGTTTGCCTTGTCCTGTCCTTTTCTAGCAGACGTTCCATACGCCGAACCTTGGGGATGAGGAGTTTGAAATCCCACCCATTACCCCCCCACCCGAGTCAGACCCTGCACTGGGGATGGCAGATATACTGCTGCCCTTTCAGGGCCTTGGTGACCAGCTGCCTGCACAAGGAAATGAATTCACACCTCAGTTTCCCCCCCAGAGCTTGGATCTTCCCTCTATTACAATATCCCGAAATCTCGTGGAGCAAGACGGTGTCATCCACAGCAATGGATTGCATATGGTAGGTCTGGTTCTTTGTGTGTTCCCATTGCCTAATATTGTCTGTCAAATGGAGATTGGTGTCATCTCTCAGTTTTTATTGACCTCTCAGAAGATCTGTGTGATTTCTTGGTAGCCTGGCCAAGCATTTGCCAGCGTTCTGTATCATGTGCAGGCGTGTTCTGTGTGAGCGATGACACGTGTTGTCAGTGTTACACAGCAAACATTGATATGCTATTACTCAGTGCCCTAAGGCAGTTGACAAATGGTTAAGGGTTTAATATCGGTGGATTCAGCAAGATAAACATGGTTGTTAATGTACAGTACAATGCTGTAATCCTGTGTATGAAAAGATCTCTTGTGAATAAGCATTCAAGCTTTATAAACACAGACTTTTCATTTCGGGAGTGGACCTGGAAGTCCATAGCCATTGGTGTCATGTGCATCCCAAGTGCTCCTAAAATTCAAAAATATGTTATACTGTCGACACTGGCATCAAGAATTGAAAGAGCATTGTGTTGGCCAGGGTGAACTACAGCATTTAGAATGAATTTCTTGTCTGTATTTGAAGTGTAGGACCCACATCTGACAGCCATCAGGATATTTTGAAAGTGAAGTATTGACAGTAGCTCAGAAGGAGAGCCAGACATAGTATGCTAGCAGGAGAAAAACATGTATTTCCCCTGTATTCTGTATATTTTGTGGACTAAGTCTTTAAAAATGGAAATTGATTCTTATTTTTTTAAACTGAGAATAGGAGTTACAGGTATTTATTGCCTTGACCATATTCAGAAATACAGGGCCAGAAAAAGACTTAATTCTGTCCAATGCTCTTGTTGGCCATAGAGGCTGGGACAGGGTGGTGTTTGTTCCTGGGCTGTATCTGGGCCCACCAGAATGGGGAGGGATGATCTGGGTGTGGGGAGGTTCTGAGCAGTGGGGACTGTTAGGCTAATTCCAATGTTAATTAGAAAAATCAAAACCAGGGATGTATGAAGTTTTCTGCAGCACCTATACACACTGTAGGGCTGTGATCTCCATGGGAGGGTACACGGGGCAGTTTCCACTTGCTCCTTGTGTTTCCTATTCAGCTTTGGAGGATTTCCCAGTGTGGGTTTCTGAGAGCTCTGTGCTCTCAGTGATGAGACACAGCTGTGAGCCAGTTTATCCTACTCAGCATTTTAAACTCAGTGCTTACAATTAGAATTAGTTTCTGCATTGCATATTGAAGAGTCAGTGAATGATTAGCATGAACATATATTTTGAATCAACTATATTTTTTTCTGATTATCTGTTTTATGTAGGACCTTTTGCAAAACATGGTGCAGTGAAAAATATATATTTACTGCTGGACTGTAAGAAAGGTCATGTTATTATGTTGTGATTTCATGTAAATCTTTTTATTATTCTGGCAAGAGAAAATTAATTAAAGATTTACAAACCAACATGCAGCAAGTATTTCACTGTAATTCTGCTGGCTGCTTGCTTCATTGGAGATTTTATATTTCTTTGGAGGCCATGAAGAGTAGCAAGCACTAATACAGAGTGAACAACAAACTGCTTACTACTGAGGAGGTACAGAATCCAAACCAGGGACTGCCTAAACCAGAGTTTGAAGGATATGGTACTTGTTTCAGATACCATTTTGTCTCTGAGCTGGACATGTTGGGTAACTTCTAAAGAAAGACCAGATTAATAAACCTCTGAGAGTCAGCAATGTTGTGCCTGAAAACAAAAGTAGTGGGGCATGTGTACATTGAATACAATGAAACCTGCTCAGAAATACATGATAAATATTGTGGGCCGGGTCAGTGTTGTATTATGTGTAGGAATATGCCTTCAATGTCATCAAGTGGTTTCTAACCTCACCCAGTTTTGCCTTTATTTTGGCATCCTTTCACTGAATATGATTCTTTCGTGAGTAAATGCTGTCACCTTAACAGCTCCAACCAGAAGAGGCCTCCTAGTTAGATATCTTTGCTCACCTCTTCTTGTGCTGAATGAGAGACTTTACATCTTTGCCTTTTTTCCTCCACTGTGCAATGTAGAAATTAATGACATAATTTACACCAATGCCGTTGGTAAGAATTTGTTCCCATATACGTCAACAAGAAAATGTAGAGAAGCTCATGCCTTTTTGTCTCAGTAGTCCAGTTGCATTTTTTTGGGCGATTGCCAGTTCAAAACTGTGGATTGGGAACTTGTTGCAGTTTTGATGAGGAATTGTGTGATTTGATATGGAGAAGCCACACAGGGAGATTTGTGTGTCAGACACTTCCCCACAACTGCTTGATTTGTTTCAAACTGTGAGGTAGAGTGGCTCCTGCCATTGTGTTCTAGTCAGTAGACTTTTTCCCTTCTACCCATAAATGCTGAGTAGCTTCAGGAAGTTTAAAAACATGAACAGAGGGTCCTTGCATTGGTTTTCCCTGAACTCATGTAGCTCTCATTGGTACTCAAATTTTCCAGCAGTTAATCTGTATTTCAAAAATAGAAAATGAAAACATTATATCATATTTTATGTGGAAAATGTGCACTTTATTAAACTGGTAAATATTTATTAATAACATTAGAATTCATCTTTAAATTAGACATTTCATGAATTACCTTGCCTTGGAGCTATAAAAACTTTATTGCAGCAATAAAAAAATGTAAAGGAGGCATTTTGACTATGAAATTTCATTTCATGGTCAATTGAATTTACTATATCTGAAAGAACTAAAGATGAGGTTGTAAAATAATTATGATGTTCGTATACACTTACAGAACAATGTTCTTATCCAGCGATACTAGGATAGTCTTATTTAAAGGCTGTATTAATAGTGTACTGCTAATCACTAAAGCTTCTTGAGCTGAATACAAACTGAAATTATTTTAATATTAACTGCATTGAGTTTATTGCTTATCTTGTGAGGCATTAGAGAGCTTTACTGTAAGCAATATTTAATTTAGGTAAATGTAGTCCTACCCTGTTGCAAAGCCTGGTAGAAGAATTTCACCTTGAAGAAATGTCATGAGATTTTAAATCACAAATGCTGAAAAAGTAAAATGGGCTTGGACAGAATTATGATTAATACTGTGTGTCTTTGGCTTTTTTCTATGTACTACCTGACATGTTCACCTATAAACTTGAATGCAGAATCGCCAGAGGCATGGTTAAAAATAGGTTATGTCAAGGTTTTCCTATGTCTCCCTTAGGGTATGGAGTTGGCTAGCTACCTTGTAATGCAAGTATCTCACATATTTCCCACAGGAAGACTGAAAAAAAAAAAAAGAAAAAAAAAGAAATTTTCTTTTTAACATATTCTTTGTGTATTATTAGATTAAAAATAGCACTCATGATGCAAAAAAGATACTTATTCCCAGCATAAATGTGACTTAGCAATTATTAAAGATTGCATTGGTGAGTTAACCATTGTTCATACTATTCAGATACAGGTACT